CAATTTTGTGCGTTCGCTGCGAATACTGTAATAACGATGTCAACTTGAGCTCCTTTGGCATGGGTCGTTGCTCACAGGCCAGCAACACAATAGGGCACTACGTTCCAACATGTGTCGTCGCAATACCGAATCAGTTCACTGCTGGATTTCTCGCTTCTCATCACTTCCACTTACTGGTTATGAGTTATTAACACGGGGCTACTCGTCGGAAACTACACATGAAGAGACAATATTTTGACATTTTTTTTTGTCTTACCGATCATCATTTTTACTTTCTCACTAAGTGAATTTCAGTTTGTAGACACAAGACATTCTGAGCTAAAAGAAAATGAGAAATAAGTTGGAGTTTCTTAACTCAAGATAAAAAAATGAGAAATAAGTTGGAGTTTCTTAACTCAAGACTCTAATGCATACATTTCATCAAAAAAATGTAAAGGGGGCAACTTTAATCTAAGCGAGAAACTTTTTCAAAATATTCGAAGAAATTCACTTCCATGCATCTTCTCAGATTACAAGTGAAATGGATTCTAGGTAAAGTTTGACTGTAGATCATCGAATGTCCGACATTTTTGACTTTTTATCGAGTACAGCACTCCTCATCGAGTAGGCAAAACTGGCAAAGAACATGAATTTTACAACTATCAAGTTATTGCGTTCCAACTCTGTCTTCTTTTACTTTGCCGCTCTTAGAGTGAAATAGCTTATAAGCTACCGAGCGCTATTGTCCTTATCCATTCATTTTGCTAACCCGTCGTTTCTTCGTTTTTCAAGTTATTCATTCCATGCTGACCACCTGCGCAGGTGGTGGCAGATCGTATCGCGCCATACGTCAATCAGCTCAAGACAACATATGCCTAGCTCATATCTGATGGCGCATCTTGTCAGCATGTCAGCAGGAAGTTGCGAGGTCATTTCTTCCTATTCTCATAGATTTTTCGTGAAGAATTGGGCAACTGTCTCATCAAACTCCATTTTCGTGCCTTTAGTACCTCTTTTCTTGATTTCACTCTTTTATTAGTTTCCAAAAGATCCACATCGTGGAACTCTTTATCCGTACTTGTACTGATAGGACTTCTTTCTTGAGTCATTCTTCATCAACGCGATCTTGACTTCCATGATTACAGCTGTATTTCAGGAAGATTCAGTAGCAAACTTAGATCACCATCCCTCAAAATGGTCATGCAGCAATTTCAAATACGCTTGCTCTGTGTTTCCTGATTACATTTTTATTTGAATCCGATCAAACTTTTCTTGCTCTGTCACACCATCGTCTGTTGAGCGTCGATGTAATCTCTGTGACTACAGAGTTTGGTAGACAGATCACATTGTCTTGAAAACCTGTCATTGTCTTCTAAATCTTTTCTCGAATTACTCTCAATGGAAACCTTCAAGGCGGCTTCAACTGATATGATTTGACACTTTGTCACACTAAGTCAACCCCATTATTGATACTGCTTACTGTACTTCTGATTGTCACCTCTCGTAGAGTGTAACTCGTGCGAAACGAGGTAGTAAGTGCCGACAACCGAGACACAATGAATCTACCGGCCAGCTAGTTGCGTGATGACCTCTAGCGGCTTTGTGTGTCTGTTTGATCTTTTTTGGCAACTCTTCCAGTTCACATCACCACCATGCTAAGAGGCCATAATGTGTCCTCTGATCGTTCTTTTACGAGGTGCAATGGCCTTGCGCTACCTGGGTTTTACAGTCTGCCACAGCTGTGCTTGAGCAGTTGACGTATTGCTGAAAATCGTGGAGAGTCAAATGAAAAAAACTACAGACTCGTCAAAAAATACTGTAAGACTTGTATTTTCGATTATATTACTAAAAATTCAAACCTAAACATGAGCTCTACGAAGAGTGGCTAGAATCGAAGTGTTGGCTTATCGCTTCATTTTGCGAGAAGTTGGAAAAGGGCTTCTGATTGTTGATATTCGATAGACGAAAACTCCTTGTAAGTTCTCAAATAGTTCATTAAATTCTAGGTCATGAAGAGGGTGATTTGCTAAAGTGAGTTGAACAGAAAAATGGAGGAATAAAGAAATGTAAAGTTGTTCCAGTCGAGGGAAGAAAAAAAATTTAATAAGCGTTAACTTCCACTGATATGCCAGATACGTAATATAAGTAACAGCGCAAGTATTCTAGTAATAATAATTTTCGAAAATCGCTAGATGAATAGACTGAGATAAAAGGGATTCCGCTGTCCCACGGTTTCTCTCAGCCTACACAGCATAGTTAACCGTATGACATTTCTGTCCAGTCTACATAATGTGAGTATCAGCGCAAGTATTGCTTTGTTGAATACTCTCATATAGTACTTGTCGCATGTAAAATGGAAAGCTTGCCAATTCTTGGGTGCTTCAGAGGTTTTCTTGTGTTTTTCTTGTTGAGATTAAACGGCTATATTTGTGGGTTTTTTGTATATGACATCACTGAGTCTACTAGAAATGTGGCACATTTCGTTCGCTAGGGGTACGACAATGATTTTGACGGAGAATGACACTGTTGACTATAATTCTCACACCTGAAATAAATCTCAGGACGGGCGAGATTCATGGGCCATTAACCCATCGCATTTGTGGTGTGAATGAACGCTCAGCCAACCTGTTAGGTTGAAATTTTCACACCACAAACACATCGCATCGTTCTTGGAAAGAATTCTTGTGAGTACTTTGTTTATAATCATCTGCCTTCGTGATTGACTATGGAGATGGTAGTGGCTGAACTTTTGTAATAATCCTGAATCCCTAGATGCATAACTACCATCGCCTGACGTTATATTTATCGGTCGGCGATTTGGAACCTTTCTTCATGGTCACTATTTTCAATTTTAAACTGTGAGCAGCCTATACGGCAGTTACCTAGTACCTTACAGATCACCTGTTGAAGAAGTAGTATGGACTTCTGGAAACTTAGCAAATACTACTCTGATTGAGCTTTTTCTGATAATAAATGGTTGTACGAAGCCATTAAGAACTTGGACCCTTGACAGCTCAGGCGATGAATATTACCAGCGACGTAGCCTTCCTTTATTTTAAAATCATGCTATGAGAAACTAAGAGCTTTCCATATATCTCACGGAAATTCGTCATCACTGGTTTTCTGATCTCGCAAAATCAAAGCTTAAAAGCAATTAAGTGAGGGAGTAGTGAGAAGCCAATGAGTCGATCACAGTTGTCAATTTGTTCAGTATAACCGTTTTAAACTATCATAACAAAATACAGCATTCTTTTTATGACGTCAATGTATAACATAAGCTGACAATTATCCCAGAAGATGCCTCTATGCTACTTTTTCAAAAGAGAAGGAGTAGTTACGTCTTTGAAAAACATTTCTCTGAACAGCTGACTTCATCTAATATACGGTCGGTGCCAAAGAGTGATTCATATAGGAAATAGGCAGGATTGAAGTAATTTGCAGAGTTCATTTCGTTTTGATGATTGCATTGTAAAGAAACGGACCCTATGCGACCTCATATAATCGAATGAGTAGAGTTCTTTGTCTACAGCTGCGTGCGGCTAAAAAGCGCATTCATTTTGATGCGTAACCTAGATTTGTGCAAATACTTTCTATGAATTTTCTTTAGCGCTCGCATCGAAGTAAACAGAGAATTTTTTGGAATACAATCTAAAAGTTACGCTTCCCGAGAAATGTGAATGTTAAGAAATTAAGAAGCATAAGGAATTTTCACTGTCTAGTTGGTCGAATTATGAATGAGTAGATTCTCGTTTTCGTCATCGTGATATCAATTACTTTAATTCTTGCTTTTTTGACAAATATAAGATGTTAATGAAATCTGTTCAACAAAATTTCATCTGAGTAGTTTTGCTGATACAAAATATCAAACTCGAGATATTTGCGAGACTACTAGCTACCCTCCATATAATCTGGTATTTCATGAGTAAAACTTCCAAAAAATTGCGGGTTGTACTAAGACAGTGCTCAGTTTGCATTGCAGAAAAAAGTGCGAAATGTTTAAAGTCACATCTTGCATTTGAAAACGATGCGTGCTATAATAATACAATTTAACATCCAATAATGTTGACTGATGTGCAAGACTTTGAAAGTCAATCTGAAATCAAACCAACATTACATCCTTTTCTGGGGCACATACTAAATGTACTATCGACGTGCGCGTTCTGCATGAGTTTTTGCGAAATGCGGGTTCGACTCCGGTCTGACGTTATAGTTCTGCACTTCACTCATCATTAATGTTCATCATTAATGTACTAATGTGCAAATCGTTATTACGTCTTTAGCTGAAGCCATCCGAAATCAAGCGGAAAAGTTTTGTTAGTACATAGGTGCTCGATTTCATGTCCTAAAAGGGCCGCCTGTCGGAGTTTCCTGTGCTCGGACGCAGCTACCGTATCCGGCAGTCGTCGGGACCGATTATCACTCTCGACATCATCGTCGACAGCGGTGCCTCGTCGGCACGCGGCGTATATGCTCGATTTTCCGCTGTCCCTCGATTTTCCGCCCACTGAACACCTGCCGAGCTGAGGCTCGACCGAAGCCTATCGTGGCGCCCAGCCACCGACGATCGCACACTGCCGCCTCCCGCCGTCCGTCCCTCAGTCAGTCTGTCGGCTACCGTATCCCTGCGTGGGCCACGACCTCCAAGCGCAGGCATCCTGACACCAATTATCCAGCCCTATAACAAAGAACGCTGTAGGACACGCGTGTCTGATGACGAACTGACACACACACACATGCAGACTGTGGTGATGAATCTAGGGGGCATTGATGAAAGCACAGTAGAAGGCGGGTGGAGAAGGGAAACGAAGCACATACCAAGATAGTCTGAACGGTTCAGGAACTTTCGGGCCTACCCAAAATTCGTTAGCATTTGCGGAAGAATTCTTTAAACTTGGTAAAACATAGAAATTACTGAGTGGTATTCAATAATGTTGAATGATATGCAAAACTTTGAGCGTCAGGCGAAATTCGAACATGCTATTCACCCCTTTCGATGGCAAAAAAGTGATGGCAGAAAAGGAGCGTCGGTAGTACAATGGTTAGCACTCGCCTTTTACAAAGGTGAAATTCGGGTTCGAATCCCGACTAATGTTCAAAGTTTTGTATGTCATTCAAAATCATGGGTTATATATTTGTACACCTTACCACCGCTATAAGCGGGTTAAATAAAAAAAAAGATTTAATTGGTTATTGAAAGAAATAGAAACACTGCGGGATTTTGAATTCATCTTAGAGATTGCAGTACATTTTCAGAAGCAATTCAAAGAGAAGCAACAAAAGAGACAAAAAGCTTTTGATATATTTCACTTCGTAGCTTTATAACACAGATTTTGAGTGTTCTAATAAGTACTTATTGCTCCATTTATGGAAGCTCTAGTAATAACGAATTAACATTCAAATTGGTCTTCTAAATTCGATTTCGTTCATTATAATGTTTTACAAACTGTACATCAGTGGACTGAAAAGTGATGCGTGAATACAAAAAAAAAAAACGAATGGTGTTTCTGCTGTAGTCACAGGTTGATTATTTTCAGTCGCTGCATTACACTTGTATTTGACATTTCAGGTGAAAATCTGGTTCCAAAACCGACGTTCAAAGCAGAAAAAGTCTAAGGGCAATATTGAACGAACATCGGACGAGGAGGGCGAATCGGAGGACCGAGCCGATTCTACTCCTCCAGAGGAAGGAGCATCGACTACTACTAACGATTGGCAGCATATGACTGGACTTGTTCCTTCGACCTTACCTTCGACTGGATTACCACCAACAGGACTTGGTCCGTCTACTCTACCGCCTACAGTTCTCCCACCGGCACCTCAACAGGCCCCTGTACCGTCAACCGGGCTCATGCCACCGCCATTAAACACACCTCTCACCACTTACGATCCACTTAAGTACTCTTCGGAAGAGCTTAAACCATTCTATGATCAGTCTGCGTACTATCAACCATATATTCTACCCCATTCAGGGTACAATGGCTATTAGTTACGACTTTGTAACAGAATCAGGCAAACCGATATCAACGATTTCTTGGAGAATTTCTGAAAAAAACTTTTTGAGGGAGACTCTACTGAAACAACTGAAATAACATCTTCCAAAAGAATTCTTGACACTGTGGTTTGCCTGTTTCTGTACTGTGATAATCATTCATGCTTTATGATTTTCCAATGATCTTCGATGGTAGTAGTCCATTCGCCTTGGCTAAAAAAACCACGGCGAAGTCACGCCATTCTGGGACTTGTGAGATCTGTCTCCATCCCTGTGCTGTTTAGGATCCATGCAGTAGGATTTCATCCACCCAAGTCCTCAGAGCAATCGTTTACGGATCTGTGTGTGTTTGTTGTTTCGATAAGTTATTCTCCGAAATATGTCTGATTTATGTTTGTTTTTCCTAAATGTGTGGCATTGTGGACCAAGTCTTGCCCTAATATTGTCTTGTCAGATGATTGTACATGATCTATATAAATCCTTATGAGAATAGTATCACACATATTATTTACTACAATTGTATTAAAACTTCTAAAAAATAATTTAACTGTTACCTTTGGAAGTTTTTGCATTGAACATTGGATCAAAGGTTCAGTGAATAAGTGAAATCCTTGTAAAACATAATAGCAACGTGAAACAAGTTAGTAAAAAGTAATTCATGTGTCTATTCATAAGCTGTGAATCCTACTTGCAACTTGAAACTTAAGCAGGAAATGTACTTATGAAGGATCAAATCTAAATCTATTTGAGCACTGAAAAATGAGCAATATTATGAACTTTGTAATTATCAGAATTTAGTGAGTAAGTACAGAAGTTGAAAGCATGCTCGCAACAGTATGATCCATCTATTACTAATACAAGGCAAAAAGCAGTCAAACCTTTCAACTTTGAACAAAATTATTCCACTTTCATTATTATTACTATTTCTTTATTATTTGAATGACCCGTCATCATAGTTTTTTTGTTGTGCGGATTCCAGTACTTCTAGCCTCTTCTCTTCTTCTTGAATGACATAGAACACTGGTCGAGCATGTCTCCTTGCAATCTCGAGGATGGCTTGACTGTGGCGTTCCGCAGGACGTTGCTGTCGACTGCCGGAGATTGTTGGGAGTGGAGCTCGGTTCCACGCGCGCCGTGACGAGCGTCATCACCACTTGGCCATGGCGCCTTTGTCTCCACTCTTTGTGAACTTGATTGATCAAGAAAACAAGTAGTAAACTGAAGACAAGACCATTTGATTTTTTTTATTCACATGAAGTGAGGTATAGCAAAGCAAGAGCTTTTCCTAAACTGTTTTCTTCATTTACTTATTTATTTGTTTACATGAAAATAATACTAGTTAAGATTTGACAACTTGTTCGAAAGATTCGATTTGTGACTTTTCAAAGATTTGATTACAGCTTCCTTCCTAGTTCCTTTTATCTGTAATGCTACTTTCAAATTCTAGAACTGGGAAAACTGACAAGCTTATCTCAGGCTAACGGTTGTAAGAATTTGATGAGCGGCGGAATCGGATGGCGTACAAGATTGGATGGAGAACCTGCTTTCTATGTCGTAACTTATCTCATTTATGTGATACTTGAGCTAAAAGAACACCACTTTCCGGATAGTCCACATCACTACTAGAATCACATAAATGCCCACTGAAGAGCATGAAAATAATAAAACCTTTCTTATTTCAAGTCGTATTCGTCGCCTATGCCTCTTCAATTGTCGTTCTCATTCAATTGACGGACGAGTCTACTGTAGGACCGGATACCTGGCCACTGAACGAATGATAATTTGTTTTGAAATCGGTATGGTGGACCTAAAGCAGCTGTGGAGATATACGGCGGACAAGGAAGAATTCCAGAAAATGGCTACAATGACGATTTGATGTCTAACTAAAGTGTAGAAGTCAGTACACTGCTTTTTGGTGATCAACTGCATCAAATCAGTGCGGCGCTCGAAAGCTTAGTATCTTAGCCAGAATTGCAGTATTTAGAATACAAGGTGCTGATTCAGCCCATTCCTTCATCATTCTCTTGCAATCAGTCAGTGAACGCCTTCCGGAACACCCCACTTTGAGCTCCTTCAAGACTGCAAGAAGATTCGTCTGACCAGCATTCTATATCATTCATAAAGAAGATGAAATTGTCAGGCAGAAATCGAAACAATATACGAAATGTTCGAACACTTTCGCGAAGGATGCATTAGTGGAAACAAATCGAGCGCTAGAAGTGTGAGGACACGTACACTAGAAAGTTGGCAAGGCGTGTAACTTTAAAACTATTCTTTTTGATATTATTGCTATTTTTATAGTTTACCGTTCACCATTTTTCGCTAATACTCTTGCTCCTCTCATTTTTTTGGGTGCCTATAACTGAGGAAGAATTATACTGGTTACTGTGAATTTCTCAGCATTCATCACCGATATGCTCTAGTTGCCTGATATCCTTGAATTGGGCCGCATTTTTTTGTATAGGTCCAAATCCTCGGGTGGCTTGATTCTTTTACAAAACGTGCGCTTGAGGTGAGTTTGGAGCATGTGACTTGAGATGACCGCTGGCTACGGTGTTCGACCTTGGGATGCTGGCAGGAGTCTGCTATTGACGTCAGGTGATATGATCAATCTTATTAAGCCGTCACGGCAGTACACGATTCCCTGTAGAATATGAGACGGTTCTTCCAATTAGCTTTTATAGGTTGTTTCCATTTTGAATCGCTACCACGCTTTCTTTCTCACTATTTCTGGCAAATTCTATGCTATTCTCATGGATGAGTAACCTCATACTTATACTGTCACCATATTATTTCAATCTTTTAGACCTGTCTCCCTCCTCTTGCCCTTCTTCCTCGCGTGTCTCAACTCCTCCCAGCATTCCAAACATTCTTTGGTCGGTAGGGATTGTGTGATCTATCCAATTAGCGGATGGCTGCCGACGGATTCGATTCGCCATGAATAATTCGTTCTCACTCTCAATCAAAAAGCTGTTCTTTGTCTGAGAACTCGGGAATTTCTACTGGAGAGATGACACGAAAAACCTTGCGGAGGACTGTTGATTGAACAAAAACGAAGATTGAATCAATACACAAATGTTGAAGTATTAAGACAGTAGCAGTTGTCCACCATATATTTGATTGATGAAAACAAATTTACCTCGGGAATCAACTTTTATGATTAAGTCTCAGTCAAACTCTATGATCAAAAAGCATAAAAAAAAGCCTTCTACCTATTCAACTTTCAAGCCGCTAATAGGGAATAACGACAGTGTTGAACCTTCCATGTTCTACAGCAAGTTGTATCTAGGAATTTAACAGCAAGATTTGCAGCTCAAGCTTATCGTTCACTGCACATAGATTTCTAGGTGATTGTACAGGCACTTCGGGCATGTTACCCTTCTGTGGAGTGCGTGTAGCTCAACGGTCAAAGGTGCTTGCAATACTAAAGTGGTCTTCGATTCCTTCACATGCTCTGGGCTCAGCATCTACCCATCATTCCAGTGTCGTAAAATCGGTGCCATAGTTTTCTACTTAGGGTAGCAGCACTAATTATACATATCACCAAGCTATCGGAAGTCATTGATAGAGCAAATACACATGCAGTTACTTCTAACGACGCTGGATGAAGTTGAATTCGTGCCACATCCCTCAAGACTCGGTCAACGCGAAGAATTTCTTCCCTCTATACTTTAATTTTTTTATACTCTTGGACAACCCTAAGCGCACTTTTAGTTTCGTCCGATTGCCACAAAGGGCCACTGGCTGAATACTGATTGTAGTTACCAGCAACTTAGCAGCTCGATGAGACAAATTTTAGTAGAACTATAGTCAGGCATTTTGGAAAACAGCCTGCCAGGCCATCCAAAAGAAGCTCAAGTCTTTGGACTAATTCCACAGCTAGTTAGGATCCTTTTCCAACACTCGTTCAGGCTCATGATACCCTGAGAGTAGTGCTTGTGTTCATCACTTAACAATTTGAAAAAAAAATGTATATGACCTAATCTATGCTTCAAGTGGTGCTTACCAATTTATTTCGACAGAATATCTGTTTATTGGAAATTAAGGAATCCTTGGTTCGTAAACAGAAAAAAAATACAACAGAAACAACTAAGTGGAGAGACT